ATGCAAACTTTTTTTATAATACCTGGAATAATTTCAAGGTCCTGCAAATTTTTTGATTTGAGGTAGAAATGTAGTGTGTCCAAGAATCTTTAACCTTTTCCCCTCCATTTTCTCATTTGAATAACTAAGTAAAATGAAATGAGTTTGCCTCAAAGAATATTCACAGACATCAACGAGAAAGATGGGGGGAGGGGAGCAGCGGGAATGTGATGAGAGAAGAAAAGACCAGCAAAGGCAAGGGGAAAGGGCCTGTGGGAGAGATCTGCAATAACCTGGAGAAATAAGGACCCAGAGAGATCTCTGCCCTTACATTTCACTTGAGAGATGCCAGTTAGAGATGAAAGCATTCTGTTAAGAATAGCCAGAGTTGGCCTGTGGAAACTGGGGACTTAGTGGCCACTCTATGGGACCAAGAAGAGTAGGAAGAAGAAAGAATGAGAAATGGGGGCAGCTGGGTGGCGCAGTGGATAGAGCACCCGCCCTAAAGTCAGGAGGACCTGAGTTCAAATCTGACCTCAGACACATAACACTCACTAGCTGTGTGACCCTGGGCAAGTCACTTAACCCCAATTGCCTCACAAAAAAGGAAAGGAAGAAAGAAAGAAAGAATGAGAAACCACATTTAACATTCCCTTCAGCACTAAGAAGTAGGAATTCAGGATAGAACTTGTAAGGAAGGAACTCTCCCAGAGGAACTTGATAATAATTGCTAGTGTTTATATAGCACCTACTATATGTCAGGCACTTTACAATTATTATCTCAGACACGTAACACTTAATAGCTGTGTGACCCTGGGCAAGTCACTTAACCCCCATTGCCCAACCAAAAAAAACAAAAAACAAACAAACAAACAAAAAAAAAGAGCTAAAGCTAGAATACTGAACCCAGGTCTCCAGGGTTATTTCCACTACAGTATGATGTAGTAGAAAGACAATAAAAAAGGGTATTTAGCAGTGGAGGAGGGGAAAGAAGGAAGGAAGAAATTGTTGCAGTTTCAGTGTTTGGCAGAGTGGAGTTAGGGGAAAAAAGATTTCCAAATTGAGTAAAACTGTAGCTACCTGGAAATAGTGGTTTCACTTCATCTAGCCCTATCTGACAATTTACCTAGAAATGGTCTTAGCACATCCTAGTGACTTGGGATTCACAAAATCATAGAATATTGCAACTGGAAAGGGTCTTTGAAATCATCTAGTTCAGCACCTTCATTTTACAGATGGGAAACCTGAATCCCAACAAAGCACCCTATTCAAGGTCATAGGAGCAGAGTTTCCAGAAGCCTTATAAAGCTGTAATTTTTACCCTTTGGGGGAAGAACAAAGGAAGAATAGTCATAGCCTGCCTTCCCTTATTCCTAATCATGGGTCCTGTCATGTATTACCCCCAAATTACTAACTGTTGGGGGTTTCTGAGCTGGTTCTCAATTTGCATTCTCAGGATTAATTTTACACCTTTTTTTGGACCTATCTGGAAGGATTTTCTTTGGCCTCTAGGTCCTTGGGAAATTTTTCTAGATAAAGTTTTTCTCACATTAAGGGGTAAAAGAAGACTGGAAGATTTCACTTTTTCCATAGCTTGTGGTTGAAGCTGACTCATCCCCTGTCTTTTCTGGAGTCATGGGGTTTTGCTCCTTAATTTGGAACTAACACCAGCCTCTACACCCAGGTCTGCTCCCAACCTACACACTTTCTTTTCCTTGCAAGAATTGAGGATAACATTCTTGGGAACATCCTGAGTGTATATTGCAAGCCTCCAAGCAAAACTTTGTCAAATCCTAGCACCCTTTAAAAAAATCCTGTCCATTTCCCTTAAGGGGTTCCATCATTTTGTGAAAGCCCAAACACTGCAGAGGTTGCTGGGGCAGAAATTATACTTATACTTCATGGTGAATCTCCAGATGAGATCTATCTAGCTTTAGTTGTCCAAATCCCGTTGAAGCAGCTTCAACTCGTTGCCCTCCCCCCCCCCAATACAGAGGAAGAGTAACATAAAATCACCAACACACAATACCCTACACAAGTAGTCAGGGAACTTGTATGGCACTGTATTATCTCACATTAAGCATCATTCAAGACCACTGGTCCCGCTTCCTTGCAGCAATTACATGAGGGGGTGGCTCCTGTGATGAAGTGACCAGCCATCCCTACCAACTGCCAGTTTGACGGAAGCAACAGGGCACCCTAAAAAGGTAATGGGAGATAGCATGTGCCAGGCAGGTCAAACCACCACCATCGTGACCACCGTTTCCTCTCAGACCTTGATGAAGACAGCATAGTACCTTGAACCCATGAGCCTTTGGAACAGAGGTGCTTCTAGCCTCGTGCCTTGAGCTATCATCCCAGGAAGCAGCCCCTGTGGGGATGTAACCTGGCAACTGCTCCTGCAGGTGATGCATCCACAGCTACCCCAGGGGGAAAAAAAGTTCTTGGCACCACAGTACTTGGCACTGTCAAATGATTCTACATCAGAAAATGAAATAATTTTAACCATGGAAATGATATTAAAGAAGGGTTATTACCATCTGCTTTGCCTCTGCACCCTAAGGACCATGGAACTTTTCCACCTGACTTACAGCTGAAACTTTCAATGTCTCCTCCATTAGAATGTGAGCTCCTTAAGAGCAGAGACTTTCTGGGGGCAGCTAGGTGGCGCAGTGGATAGAGCCCCAGCCCTGAAGTCAGGAGGACCTGAGTTCAAATCTGGCCGCAGACCAAACACTTGACACTTACTAGCTGTGTGACCCTGGGCAAGTCACTTAACCCCAATTGCCTAAAAAAATTTAAAAAATAAAATAAGAACAGGGACTTTCTTAGGGCTTAGCTCGATGCTTTGTACATAGTAAGCACTTGATAAATGCTTCATTCATTCATTCAAGGCTCACCTCAAATCCTAACTCCTCTGTGAAGCCATCTCTGACTACCCAGAACTGAATGAATTCTCTGTCTCCTCAAATTCCTATAGCACTTACTGGCTATACCCAACATTTGGCACTTAGCATTGGCACTGCCTAGTATTTTAGATGTACTTTCATACATAACTAAAATATATGTCCTGATCTCCCAAACAGATCATGGGTTCGCTCCTGAGGGATGGTGCCTTGGTTATCTTTCCTACCCCCATGAGGGTTCTACACATATTAAATCAGAAACAAAGAACTGTTGCTCATGATGATGGTGGCCATCCTTCTTTCTATGTCTTCCCATCAAGTACATATCTTTCAACTCTTTTATTCATTCAACAAATTTATTATAATTTATTACATTCAACATATTTATTACATGTCTATTATGTACTCATGTCCTATGGATGGTCACTGTGGCAACAGTGCTAGTTTTAGAGTCAAGGTTAGCTGGCTTCATATCCCTCCACAGTCACTAGCTATGTGGCCCTGAGTAAGTCATTTGACACCTCTGTGTCTCAGTTTCCTCATCTGCAAAATTAGGGAGTTGGCCTAAATGGTGTCTAAGGTCCCTCACAGATCTAAATCTATGATCCTATGATACAAAGATACACAGATCTTGCTCTCAAGGATTTCATCATCTAATGTGGTAGGAGAACATTTGTTAAGTCTGAGGCCAGATTGGGACTCGGGAAGATGAGTCTTTCTGACTCTAGGTCCAGCACCCTATCCATTGTGCTATATAGCTGCCCTAGGAAAGCGTTACACAAATGCAAAGGAAGTTCCAAATATTCTGGGTTCTATGAAGGAGAAATTTGAAGGAAGGAAGAGGCAAAATTCCTTTTCTTTTTCCCCCTTTACTCTGACTCTTTTTCCCCCTCTGCCCTGTCTATGACAAAAGCCCACTAAGGCATCACAGGATAGTAGAAAGAGAATCTAGAGGGCCTAAGCTCTAATTAGGCCTATCCTAGGATCTTGGGCCAGTCACTTAATTTCCTGAGCCTCAGTTTTCTCATCCATAAAAAGGTGTGAGGGATTGAAAAGAGGCAATGAAATACAATAGAAGGGATTTGGAGACAGAAAGCCAGAGTTCCAATCCTGCCTCTTCCATTCACAGTATGTACTTACAAGTAACCTAACTTCTCTAGGCCTCAGTTTCCTCAGAATGGGGTAGAACTATATCACTTTGGAGGTCCCTTCCAACTTTAAAGTCTGACCCTGTGAGTAGGTGATTCTCTAAATCCTCTTAATCCTATGTCCTGTCCCTTCTGGAGCCTAAAAGTGTTGCCTGAATTTGGCTCTTTACTATTCCAGGTGCTTTATCATCAAGGGAGAGAATTTCCTTTATTTATGGTGACAGGGCAGGTTTCCACAGGGCTTACTCACGAATCATTCCTGGAGGGGGAAATCAGGAAATGAGCTCAGAAAGTCTTGGGGACATTTTGCTGTTACTGCAAGTTTCTGTTCAGCGCAGAATTACTGGGGGGGTTGGGAGTGGGGAAGGTATGTGGAGGGGAGAGGTGAACTGGGAGGAGGCAAGGGCTGAAAAGTGCTATTTCCAAGCCTAAAAGTAATTTATCTATACTTTGGCCAAACAAGCCACTTGCATCACTCAACTACTGAGATACACGTAGATTACAGTTGCTCCGCCTCCTTTCTCTGGTCTCCCAGCCCCGCCCCTGGGAGGAGGGATGAAGGAAAGCTAAGGGGGATGTTTATAGGAGGTGTATATCTGTAAAAACTACCCGGCCTGCAAAAACTCCAGGGTGGACTCAGCTTAGGCGCCTGCCCTTGGAGCTTTGAGGGCAAGAAACAGGAAATTGGGGGTGTGTGATTTGAGGAACTCTGAGCCTAGACGAGGGGAGAGAGGCAGTCAGTTCCCCGAGACTGCAGCCCCGAACCCTAAACAGCCCAAATTTCCGCGGTATTATCATAGACCCAAGGTCCTCTTGGCCCCGCCCCCTCAGGCCCCGGCAGGCCTGTGCGCACCGATTGGCCGATACTCCCTAAAGGGGGCGTGGCGAGAGAGGGTGGGGCGCAGACTAACCATGGAGGGAGGCTCTGATTGGCTAGGAAGCGAGGGCGAAGCCCGGGTGAGTGGAATGTTTGGGAGCCTGAACGTTCCATCCTGGGACGGTCCGGCCCAGAGTTGGGGCTGCTCCTGACGCCGCGCTTCCCTGTCTCCCGTCCTGGTCCGGCCCGGGGCCGGCACTGGTCAATTGCAATCCAACCAGGACCCTGAAGGGATAAGGTAAAAAGCCCCTGTCTCTGCCCTGGGCTCAGGCCACTTCCAATCCTCTCCTAGACAGTTACCCCAAGTCAACCTTTTTGCCCCTCTTCCTACGCCAGAGATGCTCTGCCACCCTGCATTTGGAGCTGCTGAGCTCAGATCTGGCTCTGTATCTCTGCTGGGGAAACACCCCTGGTGTGCCCCCTGAACCCTGTTCTCTGACTCCCCCAGACGCCTGTCCCCCCTCTGCTCCCTCTTCCCTGTCCTCTTGACCTCTTTCGTCCTATGCTCCCCACCTTGTGCCCCCCTAAACTTTGCTCTCTAGCCTCTCCCCAGGCTGAGCTATCCCCCTCTTAATCTGCCTGCCCCTTAACTTCTTGATTTCTGTTGATGGCTCCACCATCCTTCCATCCTCATGGTGTTAGAGTCATCTTCGATGCTTCCCTTCCCTTACCCCCATATACAATTACTTGCCAAGCCTATTGATTCTACTTCCATAATAGCTCTCTCATTGGCTCTTCCGGTTGGGAGTCCCGGCAGCCATCCTGGTTCAGACCGTCATCCCTTCTTTTCTTTACTATCCTAATAGCCCCCACCTTCATCTTCCTATCTCCAGTCTGTCCCCACTCCAATTCATCCTTCACACACTGTCAGGTTAATCTTCTTAATGCACTATCACGATCATGGCACTTTCCTTCTCTGAAACCTTCAGTGGCTCCCTATTATCCATGGAATAGAGATATTATATGAATATAAACACCTGACATTTAAGGCTCCCCAGAAGCAGACTCCAATCTACTTACCCAGACTTGTCTCATACTAGTACCCTTTCACACATTCCATGTTCCAGCCAACCTGGGCTGTCTTTGTTTCTGTTCTTGTCCTGATTCATGTCAGGGCTTCTGCTCACACCATCCTAATTTCTGGAACAGATTTCCCTGACCTCTGTCAGATTCTCATCACAATTAATCTAAACTTCTCCTTTGCAATTATCTTGCTTCTTGTATCATAATTATTTGTGTACTTGACTTCCCTCATACATATACATTAGATTGTAAACTCCTTGAGGGCAGTCTGTGTTATAATCATTATACTATAGTATGTAGCACTGGGAAATATGGTATAGTGGAGAAAACACAGTATTTGGAATCAGAGGACCTGGATCTATAATTTACTAAGCATGGTCACACGAGAACTGGGAAAAGCTGGTAGAGTGGAGTCCCCAAAACTACAACCCTAGGGAAGGATTTGGGGAGGCTAGGTCAAGTGAAAACAAGGCCACCTTCACAGTTGGAGACAGAAAAGAGGAGTCAGGTTTCAGATAAAGAAACTCAGCCCTATGGGTCTAGTAATGGCCTTTTTGGAGGAAAGTTGTAGGCTTTGGGGCAAAAACATCTGAAAAGAATAGCCTTACCTTGGCCTTGGATGAGTAATCCATTTGGTGGGGATGTAGTTTTGGTCAGTGAGGGGTGTAGAGGGGGCTTTTGAATCCCTTGTGTTCTGGTCATGGGGTGATTAAATGCAAATTCTATCTAGCCTTCAGAGTCATGGGAGTCTAGGGTCAAAGGAAGACCATTGGGGCCTTTTCTTTATCCTCTTCACCTCCAGGGTAATACCAAAAAAGAGACTCCCACGCAGGTAGTGAGTGGAAGGTTACAGCATCAATAATTTGTAGCATAGTCCTTGGCCACTGAGATCTCAAAGCACTTTGTAAAATCAATTGTAGTCCTTCTTCCCCCATGAGTCAGTGATGCTATAACCTATCTGGTGAATCAAATGATTTGCTGATAGCATAATAAGGCTTCTGTCTACCCCTAGGCTTAGTCTTTCTTTACTTATCTGTCAGAAGTCAAACCTGTAGATTTTAGAGCCTTGTCATTTTAGATTACCTTGTCATACAGCATGTCGTAGGACAGGCCTACTTTGCAGACTATAATGTCTTTGAAGGTAGGGACCATTTCATTGTTGTCCTTGTATTTCCAGCTCCTAGCAAGATGCCTGGTACATCCTAATAAATGCTTATTGACTGATGGATGACCTTGCTCATGACAGAGCAGAAGAGACAGTACAGAAGAGGTTAGGGGTTTTTCCAGAGAAATCAAACCCAGGGCCTTTATGGGGTAAATCCACACCTGTTAGCATTGAGTGCAAGGTCACAGGGGACATGATAGCGATCTTCAAATATCTGAAGGGCTACCATTTGAGGACAGAACTAACAGCAATATATGGAAGTTACATAGGAGCAAACTGAGGCTTGACAAGAGGAAAAACCTCCCAACAATTCAAACCATCCAGAAATACAGGAAGCAGCCTCCAGAAGTACTGGGTTACCCTAGAGGTCATTAAGCAAAAGCCAGATGGCCTCTTGTCATGTTTCTTGTAGAAGGGATTCTTGTTTAGGGATGAATTGAACTGGACGATTCAGGATGATCTGAAGTTCTGATATTTTGTGGTCCTGTGATATGGCAGGCTGACCACCACCATGTGGAGGATGGAAGAGAGTTCTTAATAGATAAAGTCCTACCTCTGTGTCCTGGCCTCCCAGGAGGGATAGAGGGAAAAGATGTGATCATCTCAACGTGGGGCAGTGGAAAGCCCCTGAGATTGGATATCTGAAGATTTGGAGTCTAGTTTCTGCCCAATTCACTATAATTCACTATGACATTTGGCAAGTTGATTCACTTTTCAAGTTTACCTCAATTTCTTTATCTGTAAAATGGGAGTGTTGAGCTACATGATCTCCCAGTTCTATAGAACTCTGTAATCGTCTTTGGACAAATAGAAGACCTGAGATGAAGAGGTGAGGAACTCTGTGTTCATGAGATCTGCACGTCCTCCAGGCCACTGACTCGCTTCTCAGGCTGGGTCTGTGAGGCAGAAGAGAGTTATTCATTGATGGTCATAATACATTTGGTTCACACTTTTCAGATGCAATCTACCATCCTAGGATCACAGATTTAGGGTTGGAAGGGACCATAAAGACCAGCTAGTCTAATCCCTTTATTTTTTAAACAAAGAACCTGGCACTTAGAGAGGACGCATACCTCACCCTAGGTCCTACTCTGTGGCGAGTGCCAGATTCAGAATTTGAACCCAGCTCCTGTGACTCCAAACCCAGAACTCTTTCCACTGCACCATGTTACTTCCTCTGTATCCAGATAGTTGGAGATTTGAGTTGGGGTATCCTGAATTAACTCTGTCACAACTTTTCTTGCTTAGATGTAAACAAAAGGTGCTTTTCCCTCTTCTCACCCCAGGTGTCTTTCTCAAAAGAGCCAAGTCCTAGCTGCTTCTCTCCCAGTGACTACCACTCATTAGCCACACCCAAAATTCAGGCCCAAGCTGGGTGTTTGTGAGCAGGCTTGGCTCCAGCTGTTCCCACTGTTTGGCTAGCTAAGGGCTTGTGATTTCCATCTGGGCTCCAACAGCCAGGGAAGTTAGTGTATCCTGCTGGCCCCTGGAACTGCATTGTATTGTACACGTCAGCCCTGCGGGACTGCCAAGACCTTGTGATTTGGGTCCTGTTCTGCTGAGTAAATATGACCTGCCCTGCCAACTGCCCTTGATGAGCTGGTCCTGGCATTGGGTAGAAAGAAGCTGTGACAGAGCCATGTTAGGGGCATGGCAAGTGTGGTCTTGTTGACAGGCCAAGGGGAAAGAGGAACAGTATCCTAGGACTGGAGCATTGGTTCATTCAGAACCACCAGGTCCAAGTGGAGAGCAATATTAAATGTTCCCTGGCCCTAGGAAAGGACTTAAGGATTGAACTCAGAGCTCAGGGCAGGGGTTCCAAACCTTTCTTCATGTCATGGACTTCTGGCTGTCTGATGAAGCCTGTGGACCCTCTTCTGAGAACAATGTTCTTAAATGCATAAAATAAAATAGGCAAGATTACAAAGGAAACCAATCATAGTAAAAAATAAAGATCTAGCCTTTGGATTTTTTTCCCAACCAAGTTCACAGGACCCATGAAATCTGTCCAAGGACTTCAGGTTTAATAATGCCTATCTAGGGAAAGAGGAGACTTGTGATCTTACTGTTATAGAGAATTCCCTCTTCCAATACAGATGGGCCCCTACTCTGCAACTTAAGAGTCTTACAATGCTGCTTGGGGTGCTAGGACCATAAGTGTCTTGCCCACGGTCATACAGCCAGTATGTATGTATCAGCGGCAAGAACTGAACCCAGGCCTTCTTAACTCAGAGACCAGGTCTCTACCCACAAGGCCACAATGCCTCTCTGCATCTGTTTTACAGATGAAGAAACCAAGGCTTAGAGAGGCTTATGTTGTCAGAGACAGCACTTGAACAAGAGGTATGATATAGTGGTAATGTGTTTAGACCTCAAGCAAGTTACTCTCTGAGGTTCAATTTCCTTCATATATAAAAATTAATTATTTGGTGATCTTTATGGTTATTTCTTAAGCCTACCTGCTTGTACTGTTTAGTGTACCACACATTGCCTCTTTTGAGAAAACAAAAAATGAAAGCTCTATTTCCTGCCCTCAAGGAGCTTACAGTCCAGTAAGGGGAGCAAGATATATATACAGATGACTAATCCTAGCAGAAGGTGATAAGTGCAGCTGATGTTGTGGAAAGAATGCTAGATTTCAAGTCAGAAGACCTGAGATCTGTTTCCTTGTCTGACTTTGGACAAGTTTCTCGCCATGTCTGGATAAGATGATCTCTAAATCCCATGATTTTCTGATTTTGTAAAACACTTGAAGCAGCAATTAAGGGCCCCGATCTGGCTAAGTGCTATGGCTGATACAAGAGAAGTGTAAGACATGGTTCCTGTCCCTTTGGAGTTTACAATTTAGTGACAGAGATAAGATTTGTATGTGTGAAACAGTAAGGAACAACCCAAGATGGATTAGAATGGAGTCTTAAATGGTGTGGCATACACACGTTTCATGGATTAGATTGAGTTGAGCTTTGCAGGTTGAGTGGAATTTGGCTAAGTGAAGGGGACCAAGCAGAAAAAGCAATGCGAGTAAAAGTCCAAAGGTAAGAACAAAAGAG